TAATTTACATAAAAGAGTACTCACACGAGTTTTATATTAGTTTATTTATAATTCCTTTCACGGTTTCCGACGCCATATTGTTTGGGCAGAAGTGTAGGGAAAGAGATACGTTTTTCGTACTATTTCCATTCTGAGGTTACCCTGCGAGCAAAGTCTCCTTTACCTTCCCCCGAGTGAGAGAAAGGAAAGGGTCTTCTTTCCTTTCTCTCACTCGGGGGAAGGTAAAGGAGACTCTGCTCGCAGGGTATTCTGAGGTAAATTTTTTTGGAGACCAAACTTTTTCTGTAGATGGAGAATCTTCTGTTCAATAATGTTTTGTGTGGTGTTTTTGAGCCGATGGAGCCACCATAACACTGGTTCTCAGAGAGACGGAGGCTTGCTTTGGGGTTTGCGAACAAGACTCGTTTATGCTGGTTCAATTTGACCGTAAAAAATATTCAAACCGAATCCATGGACTTTCTTTTGTCTTACAATGACTAAATCCCAAATAGTCTTGTACTCTATTCAAAGTACCCAATGTGCACAGCACATTTGACACGTTTTCCCGTGTCAAAACTTGTTATATTTTATTCAACATTTAAATACATTATCTTTTAAAAAATATTAGAACTATTAAAAGCACAATTAATTTAATTTGCTGATAGGACCAGATGGGAGGCAAACTAAAAGGAAAAATTGAAGAACACTTCTAATCCATATTTGAATACATAGAAATGCTTTATGCTGTTTTTTCTTTGTCCAAAATTTGTCCAAAACTCCAAAGCGATGTTTATATAACGTTTTCTGTGCATTCACGAGTTTTGTTTTGAATGAAGCGGCGGGAGTCTGTTGGCATATACACGGACGTACGAACGTACGAACGGATGGAAGTGACGTCATCAAGCAATGAAAATTCAACTCGATGGGTTACAAGTTTTTGTATGGTGCTCCGCTCGCGCGGGCAAAAGGCTCGCTATTATATTATATATTTCGACTATTTTATGTTAAAGGCGAAAGAAATGTTTAATGACACGATTCAAGCATTTAAAGAAAACGTCATTTCCAGTGTGACCTGGTTAGATAACGCCACTAAACGAGCAGTACTTGAAAAGGTAGGTCACTTAAAGATCCGGCTTACAACGCTTCCCAATCCTATGCGCAAAATCATGTCATTCTGTCTCAATAAATAGGGCTTTGGTGGACTTCAATCAAAGTATTTCCATGACATTGTGAAAAATATGAAGTTTCAAGTTAAAGAAGACTTGTTGTTGAAATGTTGTGTAAACGCACTACAGCTGATTGACTTCCAACAATTTGAAGTTCGTTGCGACTGCAAATTCGATTTCGCGTGTGTGATTGGAAAGTGCTTTTAGCTGAGCAATGACATTAATGTGTGTCCACCACGGGGTTTGAAAAAGGGGCAATTTACCGTTAAAGTCTACCTTGAAATCAAATGTTGTTTTTAATTAGATAATGCGTGTGCCTTCCCTAGGCCCAGCTCGGTTGTTACATGCCTCATAGCGAAATAAAAAAAAACATTTTATTTCAAATTTGTTCTCCCATACCACACCATAGTTAACCTTGACCACTCGCACTGATAATGATCGATAAATCACCACTTTTTCACTCTCTCCCTTTTCGATCTGTGAGCTAGCCTTTTCCCAACATATATCATTTCAGGGTTTAATACAATTCAAGTTTTTTCCTGTTTTACAGGCTGACGCCATGGGTATCTTTGTTGGCTTTCCTGATTACATGTTGAACAGCACAAAAATCGCTAAGTTATTCGAAAAGTACAGAGGCGTAAGTACATGACCTTGGTGTAGTTGTGGTGGTTTATCAATTAAAGACTCAGTAGAGACCCATCTTCTATTTCTAGCAAACCATCGAAATTCAAACATATTTCAAAAACAAAATATCTATCTTCAAGCACAGCCAGCATCGAATGCTTGCGGACTTCAGAAAGCCCTTAGACAATTCAATGTGAGTACAAAAGCTATTGACATATTTCGGAAGAATATCATCTCTGTTTTAAAGGGTTAGCGTCGATTTCGTATGAAATTATTTTGATTCATTTTGTCCCAGTGTAGGTCAATGACAGGTGGCAGAAGCGGTTCTGTATTTTGACAATTACATTCTTTACTGTACAATTGGTATTTGCGACATTGAATTTTTGACACTCTATTACCCTAGAGGAAATGCTTTTGGAGACCGAAAAGAACTCTAGAGGGGAGGAGACAAAAAATTTGAACTCTTTCCGATAACTATCGAAAATTCTCCAAGCTATTACGACACGATTACGAATGTCTTGCAAATATTGCTCAGCTAAGAAATAAGGGTTCGCTTCACGATCGAGTATTTCCGATAAATATTTCGCTAGTTATGTTTATTCTATTTAACCCTACTTAATCCCTCTTAGTGTTTTGTTTCGAAACATTGTTCAACCAAACTAATGGGACAATCTTTGATATCAAAGCAGGGCGGTATTTGACTAATTTGATTAAATTGACTAAAGAGTTTCAAATTGAATGGATTTTCGAATCATCTAATCCCCACCTCTTATAAGATGTATCAGTTTATGTTATACTATTAATACTATCGAGGTACTAGAGGGAAAGATAATGTACTTTGCATCGTACACTGGTTATGTATAAAATAAATGCATGATATTTTTTTTAGATGGTTTATGTCTCCTCTTGACGGAAATGCAGCTTACGATTTATCGTTAAATATAGTCTGTAAGTAATATACACCAGTTAAATAAAGTTTACATCTAAAGTAACTTTTCAAGATCCACTGATTAATGTCGTGTCTTTGTTGAATAAAGCAATTCCAGCAGCCATTCTTCAGCCACCAATCTTCTTTCCTGACGAATTGCTAAGGTTAGCTAAGAAAATATAAATGAAATAAAACCTTTTCTGTATTCATGTGTCTTTATGTTTATTTTATATATGTGTAATGCTACCCTGGATTCTTATCCTGCGTTAGATCGCCGAATAAGATCGCGGCTTATATCGCCCTGATCGCCCTAGACTCCAACATTCTTTTGTTACATATATCGCCTTAAAAAGACTACCTTATGTCTTAGCCTTATATTACCTAAATAGCCTTAAGGTGGCTGCCTACTTTTGAACGTTCGATTTGAGCCCACGATGTGCGCGCGCTCAAAAACCGCTGAAAATCTACAAGATTTTATTGAAGAACCATACGCGTTTTGAGCTTCAACAGGGCAAAACCCTCAAACTTTGCACGGGACTCTCTATTTTTTAATATATCATTCGAAAAAACTCCTAAAAAATCTAGGTTATATCAACATTTTAGGAAAAGTTTAAATCACAACTCATGAAAAAATAGATTTTTGTAGGGATTTTTGTTCGAACTTTATGAGATTTTTTAAGAGCACCGAAACTACAAAATATGAATGTATCAATGTATCTCTTTGTCTTTTTGTCGAAAATATCCATATATTATTGTAGAATGATTGACTAGCCTTCATTCGTGCAAATCATATAGTCTGCAAATAACTATTATCTTATGGATCGATCTTAATTTTTTTCTAATCACTTCCGGTGGCGCAATTTTTATTCCAAAAGCTCGTGCCTAGGCTTTCATTAAATACTGATCATCTCGAAAACGAGCTCGGGACACCCTATTTTTCTTTCCAGATTTGGAATCAGCATTAAATTTCAATTCGGAAAATCGAAATTTAAAAAAAAGTTTAAATCAATTTCCAAAAGTAGGCAGTCACCTTAACTCACTACGAATTGAAACGGATTGGAGAGATAAACATATTTTAATTGAGATTGACATTAGGGGAAAAAAATCAATGATACTTTGATTGACGACAGTGCATTGTCCCATTTCCCTTTCGCGATTATTGTATTGATCAGCGCATAGGAATGAAAACAGTAGTAAAATCTGATTGTCTACCATTCTTATGTGGCCATTTCACCACAGTCTGTAAAGACCGCGAGCGTAAAGCTGGAAAAAAAAGTGAATTAAATTACATGTTAAATTTTCGGAAAGCAATCAAGCATTTACTGGCGCACCCAGCACAAATAAAAAACTTCATTAAGCCACCATTTCAAAACTAATAATTGTCTATATTCTTACAGAGCTTATAGCTTAGGCAGCTTTGGTTCGGTTATTGCACACGAAGTGATGCATGGTTTTGGTAAACTCGGTAAGTCTTGAAACTGATTCGATTTAACAGGGCACTGTCGTCGCTTTGGAAACCTTTTAGCAACAGTAATATCAGAACAACAGTTCAATGATCAGGTACAATCAGAAAAGAGTAATCTTATGCAGGGCCTTTCTTCTCCCCATAACATTGCCAAACAGAACGCACAATTTGCAACACCAAAAGATGATTTATTTTGTTATTGTTATTTTTCTGGGAGAAACGTTTAGAATCGCACTATTAGGAAAAAGGGGCGTTATCGGTTTGTCTACCAAAAAGAGATTGGAAGAGAGAAAAGAAAGTGAGAGAGGGAGGGTGGGGGTGCAAGTCGCACCCAAATTTACGACTGTATGACTTAATGTACCGTTGTATTTATGGTTTAAATATATATTTCATCTTGGTGGAGATAATGATGCTGTGTGTTTTTTCATGCAGGTAGATCCTTCGACAAGGATGGAAAAACTAGAAATTGGTGGTCAAAAAAATCGGTTCAAGAATTTTATAAAAGAGTAGATTGCTACGAAACACAATTTTCCGCGTACAAGATATTAGGAAAATGGCCGGTAAGGATTATGAACGAATTCACACGAGCTGGGCTTTAACGAATAGCTAGTTGAATCAGACRATGATGATGATGATGATGATGATTATGGTGATGATAATGATGCTGATGATGATAATGGTGATGATTATGTTGATGATAATGATGATGATGACACTTTTGATGATCAGATGATGATGATGATTATACTAAAGTAAAGGTGCTCTTTCTAGTGCTGGTATTGGTTTTTCTCTTAATTTTAACTCAAAGCAAATCCGTGAAACTTTAGTAATACTAAATAGCACAATTTCATACAAATTCCATTGTTTTCTATTGTTTAATTAGCACTCTTTTGTACTATTTAGTAATTAGTGTTTCACGGATTGTTTGCACTCTAGCATCAGCATCAGCATCAGCATCAGGGTGAGCGTGAGCGTGAGCGTGAGCGTGAGCGTGAGCGGGAGCGTGAGCGTGAGCGTGAGCGTGAGCGTGAGCGTGAGCGTGAGCATTAGTATTTGCCTAATTAATAACCATGGTTAACAATGATAATAAATGTTATATTATTAGATTAATGGAAAAGATACAGCTGAAGAGAATGTCGCCGACGACGGCTCTTTAAAAATAGCGCTAAAGGTATTACAAAAGTATTTGCGGTTAGTTGGATAATTTCATCTACTCAAAAGATAGGACATGTATCCGTTACATGTTGGGGGCGTGGGGACATGTGGAGAAGAATGTGTACTGAGTTTCATATTGAGTAAAGGGACTGGGGAGACCGGCTAAAAAATCTTAACTTCCCCAAAAGTTTTATACCTTTTTTTATACCTTTAAGTTAATTTTTTCAGTAGCTTCATATAAAATTAAAACAAGGACGGTTTTGTTAGTTTTATATTACAGGTTAGCCTCGACAAGTGCAGCACTAATGAATACTGAAAAATAACTTGCGGGAAATTGAGATATTCATGGTGTCGCTTTAAATACATGATATTCAGGTTTCGACTCAGTCCTCCAATATACGAGTTTCGCTAGAAACCTCTGATATGTTTGCAAATATTTTACTTTATTTTTGGATTCAGTTTGATTTCATTATTTAAATCGAACATTTGTTATTGGAAACGAATCTTCAATATCCAAAAAAAACAATAATAGTTCAAAAATTCGACTAACTTGGCTCGCAGGCTCTTTATAGCAGAAACAGAAGGTAAGTCATTAATATCACATATTTCTTGCACAAAAAGTTGCTCTTCCATTCCAGCTGCGTATATGCTTGGCTTTTGAATTGAGGTGGTTTGACTGTAAATGGCTTCGATGCCACTTTAAAAAAAAGTATCTTACTTTATTACAATTTTTACAGAAGGTAGGATAAACTTTGTGGTGCATTTTTTCCCCTTTTTCCCCAATTTCAGTTGTATTACGATTGGGCAGATCGACACGCTACTGGATTCGACACGTGGCGGCTACCAGGACTGAATTTTACCAACGAACAGCTCTTTTACATAGGATTTGCTCAGGTAAGTGTCAACGTTTTTTCCGTTGACTTTTCACTTTTTTGCAGTTCGTTTTATTTCTAACTCATGGATTCGCAAATCAATACAACACAATGCAACTCCTGAGAGAAGTCGAAAAAAACTTTTCCACTGCTCCAAACTGTCGATTTTCTTAGAAAAAAACTGCTCTTAAATACGTCTATTCTTGAAGAATACTTGTAGATTCATCGTTTTTTTTTTCCAGTTGTTGGTCACTTGACGAATATTGCTCCAAAAATAAAACTGTCCTAAAATGTTGTCCCTTTCCTTTCGAATATAAGAAAGATGTTTCAGCGAGTTATTAATGTTTTCAAGATTATTTCAGCAAGGTTCCAGCTCGAATGAAAGACTTTAAATTTGGGAGCGATTTTCGTCCTAGTGCCCCTTTCGGTTTGTCTACAAAGCAAGCAGAGGTATTTTTTCTGACCCTCCATGGGCTGGCTGGTAGGGGAGTAAAAATAAACTAGTCAAAGAATAGTCATTCAATAGTGCAGTTGAAATACAATATTTAGCAATTATTCGCCGAAGGCGAACTGAATATCAGGGAATATTTACCGAGACGCGAGTCTTCGAGGGGCGAGGTAAATATTCTCCATGTTCACTGAGCCTGAAGCGAATAATTGTTTTAGCATATACCAACTTGTGTACAGAGTAACTTATTTTTATATACAATAATTCAATAAAAACAAACAAACAGAATCTTTTAGTTTGCGTGATAAATTCACGCGAAACGTTTTGCAAAACTTTTAGGCCATACTTCGTTGCCTTTTTAGTATTGATAGGAATGGCATTTACTTTCATTTTTCACGATTGCCGGCAGATGACATTTTGTTGCAGACTCAATATTCCGAGATTCAGAGGTGAATATCGTAAAATATTCACCTCCAATTGACCAATAAGCGCGCGTTCTTAGGAAGTACGCAAGTTGGTATATGCTATATATATATATATATATATATATATATAAAGCAAAGTATGTAATGTGGTCTATACTGTTGAAACAGTGCTCGATGCGTAGGGATGCAGAGCAATAGATATATAGTAAAGATTGGATTAAAGACGAGACATGTTCACTGTAACTCCGAGTTTCGTGCTTACGCACTCATCAGACAGAC